GGTAAAGTTCGAGATTAATAAAATAGCTTCATAATTCCTCTCACTTCCTATTTTCATTTCCGATTGATTGCCCACCTATCTAGCCCTCGCTTACTCGCTCTGAGTCTCACCCCTCCAAAGAAAAACCCTAACTTTATAATTTTCTCACCAGAAAATGTCGAAATCCCGTGAGCCCGAGAAGCCCGTCTCCTCTGAAACCTCTTCTGGGGAGGAGGAAACCGACGATTCCTCGTCTGAGGAAATCGAATCTGAGCCCGAACCGATCCGCAAGTCTTCCCCACCGCGGGCGGCCGCCAGAAAACCCCATACCCCGTCTGGCGCGAAGCCCGACCCACCCGAAGAGGATTCCGGATCCGAATCCGACAAGAAGTCAAGGAAGAATTCCAAAGCCAAAGGCAAGGATAAGGCCGTCGCCGCCTCCGCTTCACGGGTCAGATCTACCAGAAAGAGGGCCGTCGAGGAGGTTAAGGGGACGGAGCCCACTGTTACCAAGAAGTCGAAGAACAGCAAGGAGGCTGTTAAGGGGACGGAGCCCACTGTTACCAAGAAGTCGAAGAACAGCAAGGAGGCTGAACCAGAGGCATCAGAGAAGAAGCAGTTGTTCCAGAGGATATGGAGCGAGTCCGACGAGATCGCCCTCCTCAACGGAATTATGCAGTTTCGGGCCGAGAAGAAATCGGACCCGTCTGATAATATGGACGCCTTTCTTGCCTTCATCAAGAAGGATTTGCACATTGACGTGACGAAAACCCAGATGAGTAAAAAGATTTCTAGGATGAAAGAAAAGTACACAAACAACAAGCGCAAGGAGCAGGAAGGTAAAAGAAGAGCCTTTACTAGCCAACATGAGCAGGAAGCCTACGATCTGTCGGAGAAAGTGTGGGGGGCTGAGAAAGAAAAGGGGGTCGAAAAAGCCAATGGCAGTGGGGCTGAGAACTTTACTAGCCGGCATGAGCAGGAAGCCTACGATCTGTCGGAGAAAGTGTGGGGGGCTGAGAAAGAAAGCGCCAATGGAAGTGAGGCTGAGAAAGAAAACGGCAATGGAAGTGGTGCTGGTGAGAAAGAAAAGATGGTCGAAAAAGGCAATGGAAGTGGGGCGGAGACAGTGGGTAGTGCGAGGAGGTTTGTGTGGATGACGAAAAGCTTGTTGAGGGGTTTAGGCGATGTTCCAGCTGTTGAGGGCAAGGAGGGGCAAATGGGGAATAAGGAGGACGATGAGGCATTGGAGAATCTGGAGATTGAAGAGATGAAGATGTACCTGAAGCATTTTGAGTTGAAGGCTCAAAAGGCACAGCTTTTTCTGCAGATGATGATCAAGTCCCGGGGCCATTGATGGTGTGCATGCAGGTTAATCAATATCTGTGGTTTATTAGGCTTATTTTGTGATGGAACAATTGGGTATTTTGGTTTGTGTTTATGATTTGCTAGTTTCCAGCCTTTTGTTACTAAGTCTAGGAATTATGGTTTATTTTGTGATGGGTAGTATCTTACCATTAACCCTGTTTATCCTTTTAGTTTGCTTTTGAATGTCCTTTGTATATGAAGCCTCCTTGATATATCTATCTACCTACGTTATTAGTATGTTTACCGATTTCCTATGCAGGTATGGCTGGCTTTGAAAGTATATTATAATGTAGTTTATTATTGCCAACTCGGCCACAAATTTGCGATTTTTGGTTCTTCATTTGCATTCAAACAAAAAAAAACTTTAGGCCTGTGAAATTTATGCATATGCACATGTCAAATTATCATTTTATTGATAATCTATATGAATGTATCACATAACATTGAGCAAAATATGCAGATGGCACAAAAGGAATTGTTTGTAAGAAGTTGTATACAGATCAATGTGAGCTACTTGAAACAATTTGCAGATTAGAACATGTCAAAAGTACAAACTTGGGATATGATTCTTGATCTATAAGGAAATCATACAATTGAGATTGGTGATTTCTTGATTGATTTAAAGGGAATAAGAGAAGGATATATATTGTTAGTAATTACAATTTATTACAAAGGCCATTTCATTTGCATTGAATAAACAAAGAGTAACAAATTACTTTCTGAGTTACCTAAATTTGTGAAGCAGAAAGAATCAAGAATCCAGTAATGTGCAGAGGGCAGATTATCATCACAAAGTTAAATAAAATGATGCAACTTTGAGTGATATAATTCGATGCAGGATTAGGCACTGGTAAAGGGGCGTTTCTTAATTTTTTAAATTTTTAAATTTTTGGAGTGTTTACACCTGAAAAAAAAAATGGAAAATGGTCAATAGAAAAATGTGTCCTTGAAAAGCAGGGCTAAGCAGCAATATCGGGCATTACATATTAGCTTTGAATTGTGACCAATGTATTTAGTTTGTGCTGCAATTAGGGCTGTTGTGGAACCAAACCGAACTGAGCTTAAGGTGTTTGAGCTCGAGTTTGATTAATTTTCAAACATGTTCTTGTTCGTTCGATTAGTAAACGAACAAAAAATTTTGTTCGTGTTCGTTCGTTTATTGGTTCGACACGTTCGTGTTCGTTCGTTTATCTAGTCGAACATGTTCGTGAACTGTTCGAATTGTTCGACAAGTTCGTGTAGTTGTTCGACATGTTCATGTTCGTGTTTTTCAACTTTTTTTTTTATTTTAATGTCATACAAGTTATTTTATTTATTATTTAATATCTATTCATATTTATATGTTATATTATATATGTATACTAGTTGTGCACCGACTGTGCATGTACAGCCGACCGATATCCAGTCGTTGCATTTAGTTATTTATAGGTAGAAAATTTGTCTTGTATTTAAATGATCATGTTCATTTACTATGACTATTTCTATATTGTTGTAATGGTGATTTTATTTAATTTTATAATATTTAAATTTCTCATAATATTTTAAACTAATATAGGTAAATAATATCACATATTGATTTTATATTTTTAATTTAAAAATATTATTTAATAATTATTTTTAATTTATAAATATTAATGATTATCTCTTAGAGTGCATGATTTGTACTAATTTACATTGAAGGTGCCTCGTAAAAAAAAGGGTTTTATTTGTACCAAAAAAAAAAGAAAGAGGGTCTCACAGTTCGCTCACTCCACTTTATATAATTAACATCGCGAAGACTTGACAAGCCAAACCTTTTTTCAACTTACCACTACTTCGCCACTCACTCTCATTCTGTCTCCTCCAAAGAAAAACCCTAACATCATAATTTTCTCACCGTAAAATGGCGAAAGCTCGTGAGCCCGTCTCCTCTTCTGGCGAGGAGGAAACCGAAAATTCTTCGTCTGAGGAAATCGGATCTGAGCCCGAACAGATGCGGAAGACTTCCCCACCGCCGGCCGCCGCGAGGAAACCCCAAACCCCTTCGGCCATAATACCCGCCCCATCCGACGAGGATTCTGAATCCGAATCCGACAGGAAAGCCAGAAATAATTCCAAGGCGAAGAAATCGAGGGCCAGATCTACCAGGAAGAGGGCCGTCGAGGAGGTTAAGGGGACGGAGTCCACTGTTACTAAGAAGTCGAAGAAGAGTAAGAAGGCTGAACCCGAGAAGAAACAAATGTTCCAGAGGATTTGGAGCGAGGCGGACCAAATCACCATCCTCAACGCCATTCTGCAGTTCAGGGCCGAGAAGAAATCGGACCTGAATGAAAATTTTGACGCTTTTTTTGAGTTTATCAAGAAGAATTTGCAAATTGAGGCGACGAGGGCCCAGCTGAGGGGTAAGATTTCTAGGATGAAAAAGAAGTATACAAACTACAAAAGAAAGGAGCATGATGGTAAAGGAAGAACCTTTACGAGCCAGCATGAGCGGGAAGCCTACGATCTGTCGGAGAAAGTGTGGGGTGCTGAGAAAGAAAATGCCAATGGAAGTGGGTCCGAGAAAGAAAACCCCAATGGAAGTGGGGCCGAGAAAGAAAACGCAGCTGGTGAGAAAGAAAACATGGTCGAAAAAGGCAATGGAAGTGGTAGTGAGAGGAGGTTTGTGTGGATGAGTGAAAGCTTGTTGAGGGGTTTAGGCGATGTTCCAGCTGTTGAGGACAAGGAGGGGCAAATGGGGAATAAGGAGGACGATGAGGCATTGGAGAATCTGGAGATTGAAGAGATGAAGATGTACCTGAAGCATTTTGAGTTGAAGGCTCAAAAGGCACAGCTTTTTCTGCAGATGATGATCAAGTCCCGGGGCCATTGATGGTGTGCATGCAGGTTAATCAATATCTGTGGTTTATTAGGCTTATTTTGTGATGGAACAATTGGGTATTTTGGTTTGTGTTTATGATTTGCTAGTTTCCAGCCTTTTGTTACTAAGTCTAGGAATTATGGTTTATTTTGTGATGGGTAGTATCTTACCATTAACCCTGTTTATCCTTGTAGTTTGAACCCTGTTTATCCTTGTAGTTTGCTTTTGAATGTCCTTTGTATATGAAGGCTCCTTGTTATATCTACCTACATTATTAGTATGTTTACCAATTTCCTATGCAGGTATGGCTGGCTTTGAAAGTATATTATAATGTAGGAGATCAGTTTATTATTGCCAACT